ACTTAAAATATATGTAATCTTATCTAAATTTATTATAAAAGCTGATGTTTGTTATTTACTGAAAAGTTATATTTTAGCTGTTGTCAGTGATCTAATGTTGCATTTGGTCAGACGCAGCCCATTGCTTTACTTAAGTATATTATAGTTTCTTTTTACAGCCTGCAGCTGTAAAAAGAAACTATAATATACTTAAGTAAAGCAATGGGCTGCGTCTGACCAAATGCAACATTAGATCACTGACAACAGCTAAAATATAACTTTTCAGTAAATAACAAACATCAGCTTTTATAATAAATTTAGATAAGATTACATATATTTTAAGTCAAGTGTATATCAAATAGTCTCTGGTTCTGGAGAGCCGCAGCCCTGCAGAGTTCAGCTTCAACCCTAATTAAAACTCACCTTGATTAGGTTCCTTCAGACCTTGATAAGCTTGTTCAGGTGTGTTTGATTAGGGTTGAAGCAAAACTCTGCAGGGCTGCGGCTCTCCAGGACCGACGTTCGCCACCCCTGAAATAGATGGAAACTGTAGCATTAAAAACACTTTACAATAAGATTCAATTAGTTAGATAACATGACCTATCGATAAACAATAGTCATATAGCAATTTTTCTTCTTAGGGTTAATTTCAAAATTGACTAATACATAAAATCAAAAGTTCAATCTGTTAAAATTATTTAATGCACAATGAACAAACGTGAATGATCAAGTGTTTGTATTAAATAACATTCAAAAACATTAATGTTGTAAAAATATATTGTTCACTCACTGTAAGTTGATGTTAGATAATAACATGAAGTCAAGTTAATAAATGGTATCTTATTGGAAAGTCTATACAGGAGATACAATTTGACTGTACTTTGATTTAATCCAAGCTGTGTAGCCTACATATTTAATTTTAAAGGGCTATTAAAACCTGCTAGAGTTATTCAGTCAAGAATAACATCTAACTAACTAGCTAAAAAAAGCCCAGAACTGCTTTACGGACTGATATGACAAACACTGTTAACCATTTGTACATTCTTTAACACGCATATTTTAGATTTACAATTCATTTAAAAGCCTCTGGTGTGTAAAAATAGTAAATACTATCATGTCCTGTTTTTTTTACCCTAATAAAAGTTATAGGAGCATTAAATAGTTAATAAAGAAACTTTTTTGAACAAAATGAACAAAATTCATTCTAATGCTCATTATATTCAGTCAAGAATAACATCTAACTAACTAGCTAAAAAAAGCCCAGAACTGCTTTACGGACTGATATGACAAACACTGTTAACCATTTGTACATTCTTTAACACGCATATTTTAGATTTACAATTCATTTAAAAGCCTCTGGTGTGTAAAAATAGTAAATACTATCATGTCCTGTTTTTTTTACCCTAATAAAAGTTATAGGAGCATTAAATAGTTAATAAAGAAACTTCATTCTAATGCTCATTATATTAACGTTAGCCGTGCTTATGCTAACGATTAACTATGCTAGCGGCGATGTTTATTTCAATCTGACATTCAAATTAAAATATGGAATAATATTCATAACAGAAGATCTAAATCTTAAAAATGCAATTGAAACTTACCTGCTTGAACTCTTTCATTTGATCCGGGTGTCGGTCTTTAAAGTGTTTTGTTAGTTTGATCTGTTTCCTCCTTTTGAGGTCACCACGTCTCAGTGCTTTTATGAAGAGAACGCATCTGCACACCTTTCGGATAGCGCATCAAGAACCGGGTTGACCGGGTACTCGGTACCACTGGTGTAGTGCAGGGTATACACTGCATGGGTATACGGCGTATACCCACTTCTTTATCAGTCCACATAGCGTATACCCACTTCTAAATCCCCTCTGATGCGCATCATTCAGTAGTGTCCTGCATTAGCGAAAATCATGAAAGATCAGCACATGAGTAGCCCAATCAAACTGTGAATAAATGCAAATATTCCCTAAAAACACCCAGTAAATACAGTGATGCGGTCAGGACCAAGGAGCCGGTGTTTCCCTTGAAATATACTGAACAAAATTATAAACGCAACACTTTTGTTTTTGCCCCCATTTTTCATGAGCTGAACTCAAAGATCTAAGACTTTTTCTATGTACACAAAAGGCTTATTTCTCTCAAATATTGTTCACAAATCTGTCTAAATCTGTGTTAGTGAGCACTTCTCCTTTGCCAAGATAATCCATCCACCTCACAGGTGAGGCATATCAAGATGCTGATTAGACAACATGATTATTGCACAGGTGTGCCTTAAGCTGCCCACAATAAAAGGCCACTCTAAAATGTGAGCCTAAGGCACACCTGTGCAATAATAATGCTGTCTAATCAGCATCTTGATATGCCACACCGGTGAGGTGGATGGATTATCTCGGCAAAGGAGAAGTGCTCACTAACACAGATTTAGACAGATTTGTGAACAATATTTGAGAGAAATAGGCCTTTTGTGTACATAGAAAAAGTCTTAGATCTTTGAGTTCAGCTCATGAAAAATGGGGGCAAAAACAAAAGTGTTGCGTTTATAATTTTGTTCAGTGTATAATAGCAACCCCCCACCCCACGATAATGACAATGCTGACAATGCCCAACGCCACTGGATCAGAGCACTGTCAATCATTACCTGATTCGCTGTCTGTCATTTTAGCAATGTTCAACGCCATTTCAATTAATGAAAGAAAGATGAAGATGAACTACTCAAACAAAAATGTGTTTTCAGAATTACAAACAAACTTGCAATGCTACATCGGTGCTGTTAGCCAGCAGCTCAGCTAACGATAGCGATGCTACAACGGTGCTGTTAGACAGCACCACAGCTAATGTCAGCCAAGCGCCCGCGCCCGCTTCGTCCACCACCCTGAGAGAGGGTGCAATGACAGAGATGCTGCCTCTTCAGCTGAAGACATTAACCAAGGTGAGCACTTTTTAATAACAGGACCTTGTAAATTATGTTAACATATGTCAGGGCTCAGTCTCGAAATTACCATATGCCCGTCATTGTATGTCATGGGAGAAACAGTTTTTTTTTTTTCTAGACACCAATAATGACTGGCCAGACCTGTGGACAGCCAAACAAAAAGAAGAATTTAAATCCAAGAACCCCTGGTTAGGATACAAAAACAAAAAATTGGGTAAGTTTAGGTAGATTGTTTTGTCAGCTTCTAAAACAGTGGACAGAGAAATATACAGTGTGTGTGTGTGTTTGTGTGCTTGTATGCATGTGGGAGACATGGACACTACACACATACAAATATGAATATAGTAGTTACATTGTTTGTTTATGCTTCACAGGGTGTCTGGTCTGTAGCAGTGTGAACTCCCTTGGGATCATCAAGGAGCAAGGTGTATCTCTCTCAAGAGAATGGATGAACTTTGAAATTCAAGCGTCTGTCCTGGGAAGTAGAGTGACAAGTCTGTCAGCCTTGAGAAATAAGGTTAGGAAACATGTTTTGTCTAAGGCAAACACTCAAGCTGTGAAGATGGCAGAACAACAGAAAGAAGCGGTCATTGAGAATGCAGAGAGTCCTACATGAAGGAAACCGAAGCTGTGTTTCGATCAGCCTACCATTTGGCCAAAAAGAACAGACCCTTTTCTGACCATGAGAGCCTCATTGAGCTGCAAGAATTGAATGGTATAAAAATGGGCTCGATACTTCATTCACGTTATAGTGCTACACAAATAATCAAACATGTTGCCAATGAGACGAAGAGCAAAATC